ATGAAATGACCCTCAAAGGCTCACATGTTGAAGGCTTGGACCCCAGCTTTGTGGTGCTATTGGGAGGTGATTAGATCCTGAGGGTGCTAACTTCATCAGTGGGTTAATCCATTGATGAGATCATCTTGAAGGAGCTATAAGGAGGTGAAACCTGGTGAGGAAGTAGGTCACCAGGGTCATGCCTTATCTTCTCTCTCTTCTTCTTGTCCTCACCTTTTCCCCCCCCCCCCCCCCAGTTTCCATGAGGTCTGCTCTACTGTGAACCAAAATAAGCGTTTCTTCTTTAGAGTTGGGTCCTCTTAGGTATTCTGTAACAGCAACAAAAAGTGACTAATGCAACATGGTCATTCTCATCTTAAATGGGAAAAAAAAGACTAACATTTTCCAAGCATGGTCACTCGTGTCTGTAATCCCAGAACTAGTGAGGCAGAGGCAAGAGGATCCACTGCAGGTTCAAGACCAGCCTGGCCTATGAATTCCAGGCCAGTCAAGGAGGGATTCCTTTGTTTCAAAGAAAGAAGATAAAGCTGTGAGTAGCGGCACAGGCCTTTAATCCTGGCACTCAGGAGGCAGAGGCAGGCAGATCTCTATGGGTTCAAGGACAGCCTGGTCTGCATAACAAGTTTCAGGCCAGCTAGGCATACAACGTGAGACCCTGTCTCAAAACAAAACAAACACAAAACAAAAAAGAGTTAAGTAATTTGCTCAAAGTCATCCACCAACTATTAGACTGAGTTAGATTTGAACCTGAGTCATTACCTCTGGAGCTTTTTTTTTTTTTTTTTTTTTTTCGTCTTTTTGAGACAGGGTCTCCCTGTAGTCCCAGATGACCTGAACTCACTATGTAGACCAGGCTGGCCTTGAACTCACAAAGATCCGCCTGCCTCTGCCTCCTAAGTGCTGGGACTAAAGGTGTGCACCACCACGCCCCGCCTTACCTCTGGAGCTTTTACTACCCCATGCACCCTGTCACACTTTGCCAGTTCGTTGCAGGAACTTCTAGCCTTCTAATGAATGTGAACTTGTACTTCCTCTTACTTTCCTCTAGTCATACTTCCATCCAATCTTAAGGTCTCAGGACAATGCACAGATAAATATCTTGTGCATAATAATATTCATAATAATATCACCTTGCATTTATATATCACTTTCTGCTTTTAATTCTTTCCTTGGAACTGGGGACTGAAGATTGGAGAGGTAGCTCAGTGGTAGAGCACTAGTATTCACAAGGGCCTGGGTTCAATCCTCAGCACTGCAAATCAGTCAGTCAATCAATAAATCCCCAGGGGAAATTAACACTGAACTATTTCTGTTTCTCTAAACTTCTTTCTAATGTTTACGTGGCTTTGCAAATTATTTACATATAGTCATGATCAGCATGTAAGAATATTTTACGTCCTGCTTTTCTTTTTTAAAATATTTATTATTTTTATTTAGTTAAAATTAAATTTTATTGCTTGCATGTAGGTAGGTGCACCCATGTGCCCTCAGAGGTCAGAAGAGGGTGTCAGAACCCTGGAACTGGAATCACAGACAGATGTTAGCCACCATGTGGGTGCTGGGAATCAAACCCGGGTCCTCTGCAAGGGCAGCCAGTACTCTTAGCTGCTGAGCCATCTCTCCAGCCCTGCCATGCTTTTCTTATGTTTCCTTTTTGAGACAGAGTTTCATATGGCTGAGGCTGGCCTTGAACTTGCTATATAGCCTTGAAGTCCAGTTTATGGTCTGCTTTTCTTATGTTTCCTTTTTGAGACAGAGTTTCATATGGCTGAGGCTGGTCTTGAACTTGCTATATAGCCTTGAAGTCCAGTTTATAGTCTACTTTTTTAGGTAGCAGTTTATCTACATGCAATTCACATACATAAACACAGCAATGACTACGAATTCCCAGTAACCTATCATACTGTGTGCCACAGAAATCATGTTTCTTAGATGGTATAAAGAGCTTGGAGCTGACAGTACCAAACAGTGGCGAGGATGCAGGGCAACAGGAACTGGAATGTGATGCTGGTGAAAATGTAAAACAGTCCAGCCACTTGGGAAGATGGTTTGGCAGTTTCCTACTAAACTAAACATACGCTTACCGTATGACACCACACCCGTATTCCCTGGTGTTTACCCAAGGAGCTGAAAAATTGTCCAAAGAAAAAACCTGCACACAGATGTTTACAGCAACTTTATTTGTACTTGCTGAAACTTGGAAGCAAATGTCTTTTCAGTAGGTGAATGGACAAATGAACTGTGATACATCTTGGCAATGGATCATTAGTTCCAAAATGGAATGAGCTACGGAGCCATAAAAAGGCGGAGCCGCCTCAAGTGTGCAAGTGAAAGAAGAAATCCGAGAGGCTACGCGCTCTAGGGTTCCAACTCCATGACTTTCTGGAAAAAGCAGAACTATGGAGATAGTATGAAGATCAGAGATGGTCAAAGGCTTAGGGGAGAAAGGAAGGACTAAGCAGAGCCCAGAGGAAAGCACTCCATACTGCAATGGTGGGCACATGCCATTCTACATGTCTCTAAACTCATGAAATGTACGACACCAAGAGTAAACTCTAAACTACGAGCAGGTGATCATGCTGTACCAGTGTAGGATAGTGAGTTGTAACCAGGGCAGAACTCTCACGGGGAAGGTTGATGATGGGGAGGCTATGCCTGGGTGGGGCAGAAGACATGGAACTCTCTGTACTGTTCTCTCAATTTTTTTTCCTGTGGTTCTGTGTGTGTGTGTGTGTGTGTGTGTGTGTGTGTGTGTGTGTATGTGGAGGCCAGAAGTCGATGTCAAGTGTCTTCCTCTATCACCCTCCCCCTTATTTCCTGAGACGTGGTCTCTCATTGAACCTGGAGCTCATCAATTCAGCAACATTAGCTAGCCAGTGAGTTCTGGGGTCTTCCTGTGTCCAACTTCTCAGTGCTAGGATTGTAGGTGCTGGCCACTATGCCCTGCTTTTACTTGGGTACTGGGGAATCCAAACCCAGTCTTCAAACTGATAAGGCAAGCACTTTATTGACTGAGCCATCTCCCCAGTATGAAACTAAATCTACTTTTTCTTTTTTTGGTCTTTTTGAAGCAGGGTTTCCCTGTAGCCCCAGCTGTCCTGGAACTCACTATGTAGACCAGGCTGGCCTTGAACTCACAGAGATCTGCCTGCCTCTGCCTCCCAAGTGCTGGGACTACAGGTGTGTGCCACCACGCCCAGCTTGGCTTCTTTTTTTTTCTTTTTAAAGTTCTTTTACATGTCTGTAGTCCCAGCATTCAGAAACGCCCAGTCTCAAAGGAAAAAAATAGTCAATGGGCTGGAGAGATGGCACAGCGGTTAAGAGCACTGGCTGCTCTTGCAGAGGACCCAGGTTCAGTTCCCAGCACCCACATGGCAACTAACAATCGTCTGTGACTCCAGTTCCAGGGGGTCTGACACCTTCTTCTCATCTCCAAGGGCATTGCAAGTATGGGTGCATGTGCAGGCAGAACATTTATGTATATAAAATACAAATCAATAAAAAAAAAAACTTTTACAGTCATGGGAGTAGTGACAAGATGTGTGAGTCTGGCTCCTATTTCTGTCTGACTCTGGAATTTGATACACTCCTTTTTCCATTTTCCTCACCCATAAACGGAAAAGGTAATACCTGTCTCCAAGAATTGTCATGGGGATTAAATGAGCGGGTGCTCAATGACTTAGTAATAGTAGCAAGTGGCAGTGGTCATAGGTATTTCTGTGTCATGTCCTCTATACAATCATAAGCTCCTCCTCGGCAGGAACTTAGTCATTCTGTAGTTACCGCCACCGAGCACATGGCCAGCACCACCTGGGCTCCATGAATGTCTGTGGAATGAATAGTTATCGAGCTCTAATCTAAACTTTCTGTCCATTGGACATTTGAGTTTTTCCTCAACTTTTTGCTATCAACAAAACACATCTCAAAGCCCTTCCTTTGCATTGATTTGATCTGTGTCCCATGTGAAGCAGGCAGAAAGGAAAAGCTTACCACTCTCAGCTGGAACAACTGTGAAAAGTGAAGGGATGCCTATGTGTCACATCATACATCAGTAACAAAGATGAAAACCTCTGGCCTGACTTCTAGTCCCTACCTTCAGCAAACCTCTTTCCCCTCTAATGCCTCCCTTTGCATCAGAGGTCTCTTTGAAAATGGAGCATGTAGTGGTGGTTCTGACCCTCAGAGAGCATCTTCACCCAGAGATCCCTGCTGGGGATGGTGAGCTATGAACTCCCTGATGGCCTCTAGAAGTCCCAGGAAATCAAGCATTTTATTCCCAGCACCTCCAGGCCTGTGTTTTTCCGGATGAGGAGCATTTTAGGAAAACACCAACATGCCAGGTTTTCATTTTTCCTTTTCCCTCCTATGAAGGGGTGAGGAGGCGACTCTCAGTTGTCCAGGAGGAGGGACTTTGGCTAAAAATAGCTATGGCGTGTGGATCAGCCAGAGTGGTACCCAGGACTGGGGAAGGGAGGAGGACCGAGCTGTCGCCAGACTGGTTGCCATAGAAACGAGAGAGGAGCAGGGGAGCCTGGGAAGTGGGGATGACACAGATACCAAGTCCTAGTCTGAGCTGCCGCTACATTTAGGAGAAACAGCACTGTCTGCGGCTCCCACTCTCCAAGGGGACCCGTGGGGGGGACGGTGTCAGGGGCATGGACACCACCCCCCAAGGGTCTCTGCTGCCGGCCACTCTCCTCTCCACAAGCTGTGAGTTGAGTTGTGGGGACTTGGGGTTTGGGCCCCTATTTCTAAGGCAAGTGGGGGTTTGGGCGGAGCTGGTTCCTGAGGGAGTATTCACCAGATCGCTTTCAAAAAATAAGCCCCCTTACTGCCCAGTACTGTCTAGGGGGAGGAAGAGAGCTCCAAGCAAATGTGGTACTGGGATCTTCTGGAAGGAGGTCATAGCATGCACAAGAAATGAGGAGGAATAGGTGGGAAGATCTGGAGTTACTGGAGGGAAGAGGCAGAAATTAATACCTCGATCCTGAGCCAGTGAACATTTCACAACTTTCCTGCCCCATGAGAAAAATACAGCCCCTTACTCAGGCAGACAGGAGCTAGGACACAATCAAAAGAAGGTTCACAGAGATGCCTGGGGTGATGAGAGTTCCGGGGATGATCAAACACTGGGGTCCCTTCCCAACCCTGGCAGAGATGTGGAGGTCAGATTCCTTGAGACCCTGAAAGAATGTCTAGAAGTCCACCTGAAGCTAACACTAGGATGATGGAGTCCTGGGACCCTGAAGCACTAAACACTTCCAGAGGACATCCTGAGCTGCACAGAGGGAAAAGCAAGCCTGCTGTGGGGGGAGGGGAAGACCCTAATCTACCACTGCCATGGTGCTCCAGGGCCCTGTGTTCCCTGACTCCTGTGGAAAATAAATATAGGGAGGGTACCCTTAAGATCTAACCATTTGTACTTTCTCCTTTTACCTCTTCTACTTCAATACATACATACACATACACACACACACACACACACACACACACACACACACACACACACACAAAACTTCAAAGGTCTGACTGCAAAGAACTTTGCTCTAAAATTTAAAAATTGGAGTGCTGGGTTTGTAGTTACATATCCAAGCAGTTTCTCTCCAGGACCTGGTCAAACATCCAGGCCATCTGTGATCCTTATGCCACACTCCTGCTATCCCTCCTCCTCTCAGCCAGCCCAGGTTTCCTTGGAATGGGAGAGGACAAGTCCCAGGAAAGAGAATGGAAGGTTGATGAATCCCACATCCTTGTTCTACAGACCTTTGTATGTATGGTCCCTACCTCTTAGGGGACCCTGGGTGCCTAGGGAAGGACTCTGGACATTCATCTCTCAGGAAAGACTGCAACTCAGAGAGCTCCTCAGGGGGAAGAATTTGAAGCAATATCAGGTGGGCTTTGCTTGAAATCTGGGAATCTGGGCTTTGCTTCGAATGTGGGCTTTGGGACATATGGCAGGTGTGGGCGGCCTTGATGTTAGGGTAGTATATGCAAAGCAGGAGCTGAGGAAGAACTGGAGCGGTGGGGAAAGCGATATGGGTGCCTGGTACTTGGTCTGATTTTGTATCTCTCGTAAGGAATAGAATACCGGAGCGCTACTAGTGTAACTCCCAGTGACTGGGCGCTTCCCTTATCCTTGATGTTGCTGTTGACATCATGCGTCCTCTAGTCCCCTACCACCAACCACTTTCAGAATGTCTCCTTTGGGAAAGAATGCAGGGGAAATGGGGCTGACACCAGAGCAGCAGTGACCTCAGTTAGCCACTAGGATTTCAAGTGGGAATTTCCTATTGCTGGCAACATTCAACCCTTGCACACTGGAGATTTTTCACTTTCTTTCCACAGCTTACATTTCTTTGCAAACTTGGTAAGTTTGTGGTGGAGAAAAGCTGTAGAACGGGGTGGGGACAGTGAGGTCTAGGGAGAGAAGGGAAGGAAATCACATCCATCCTAGTGTGAACTTCAATACAGTGTTCAGTGGGATGGTGAAATGCCATGGGTGAGGGTGGGGGGTGCACTAATAGCCGGGGAAACGGTGGTGGAAGTCTTCAGGGCTGGGAAGATGCTGCAAAGTAAAGGATCAACTGCCAAGCAGCCCACTTCTAGTAGATTTAGAGACTCCCTCAGACCTGTTGTTTTGTCCCTGGATGCTGGTGAGATACTGCATACTCTAGCTTAAGGTGGTGACACCAAGATCTCTAATGCCTCCTTCCCATGAAAATAACCCTGAACTCACACAGTGCTATCCAGTTCATGCTCATTGTCCTTCATCTGGACTTTTTAAAAAAATATTTTATTTATTATTTTATATGTGTGCACGTATTTGCCTGCATGTAGGTAAGTACACCCATGTCAATGCAATGCCGGTGGAGGACAGAAGAGGCTGTTGGAACCCCTGGAACTGGAGTTACAGACAGTTGTTAGCTGCCATGTGGGTGCTGGGATTCGAACCCAGGTCTTCTGCAAGAACAGCCAGTGTTCTTAACTGCTGAGCCATCTCTCCAGCCCCTGGACAACAACTTTTAAATTTTTTGCTTAATTATTTTACATGTACAAGTATTTTGCCTGCGTATATGTCAGTGCATCACCTGAGTGTAATACACGTGGAGGCCAGAGAAGGCTTTTGGATCCTCTGGAATTGGAGTTACAGACGGTTGTACGTGGGTGCTAGGACCTGAACCTGGGTCCTCTGCAAGAGCAGCCAGTGCTCTTAAGAGCTGACCCAGCTCTCCAATCCCTTTATTTATTTTATGTGTACAAGTGTTTTGCCTGCATGTATGTCAGTGCCCTGCCTGAGTGCAATGCACGTAGAGGCCAAAAGAAGGCATCAGATCCTCTGGAACTGGAGTTACAGTTTGCTAGCTGCCATGTGGGTGCTGGGACTTGAACCTGGGTCCTCTGCAAGAGCATCCAGTGTTCTTAGCCGCTGAGCCCCATCATCTGGGCAACTTTTTGAGCTCGAGGGCGGTTATGGTTAGCATCCCCATTCCACTGGTGGGCAAAACTGAGGCTCAGAGACAGGAAGGCGATTCGCTCCGCGGTTGGCCAGCCACTCCACTCGGAGCTGGCCCCGAGGTCTCGTGGCTTGGCGGTCCTCTAACTCCGCATGCCTTTATTAAGGCCCTGCAGGACGGCCGGGGCGGCGGAGGGGACGCGCCCTGCAGCAGCCGGGGCCGCCATGGCGCAGGAGAACGCGGCCTTCTCACCCGGGCTGGAGGAGCCTCCGCGGCGCCGCGGCCGCCAGCGCTACGTGGAGAAGGACGGGCGCTGTAACGTGCAGCAGGGCAACGTGCGCGAGACCTACCGCTACCTGACGGACCTGTTCACCACGCTGGTGGACCTGCAGTGGCGCCTCAGCCTGCTCTTCTTCGTGCTCGCCTACGCGCTCACCTGGCTCTTCTTCGGCGCCATCTGGTGGCTCATCGCCTATGGCCGCGGCGACCTGGAGCACCTGGAGGACACGGCGTGGACGCCGTGCGTCAACAACCTCAACGGCTTCGTGGCCGCCTTCCTCTTCTCCATCGAGACCGAGACCACCATCGGCTACGGGCACCGCGTCATCACCGACCAGTGCCCCGAGGGCATCGTGCTGCTGCTGCTGCAGGCCATCCTGGGCTCCATGGTGAACGCCTTCATGGTGGGCTGCATGTTCGTCAAGATCTCGCAGCCCAACAAGCGCGCCGCCACACTGGTCTTCTCCTCGCACGCCGTGGTGTCCCTGCGCGACGGGCGCCTGTGCCTCATGTTCCGCGTGGGCGACCTGCGCTCCTCCCACATCGTCGAGGCCTCGATCCGCGCCAAGCTCATCCGCTCGCGCCAGACGCTGGAGGGCGAGTTCATCCCTCTGCACCAGACCGACCTCAGCGTGGGCTTCGACACGGGGGACGACCGCCTCTTCCTCGTCTCGCCGCTCGTCATCAGCCACGAGATCGACGCCGCCAGCCCCTTCTGGGAGGCATCGCGCCGCGCCCTGGAGAGGGACGACTTCGAGATCGTGGTCATCCTCGAGGGCATGGTGGAAGCCACCGGTGCGGGCAGAGGCAGGCCAGAGAACGGCCTTGGGGATGTCGGGGAAGGTGTGGCGTGGGCGCAGGGGCGAGTGTAGGGCGACAGGGTGTGGTGAGGCATGCAGGCTTGGGGCGGGGCTGGAGATGGGGAAGCGGGGAAGTATGGGCAGGGCGACTTGGCAGAGTCAAGAAAAAGGTTGGAGAAGTCCCATGAAATGGCACTAGTTTAGGGCCCTAGCCTGACAGGTAAGCCACTTTGAAAAGCACTTTACGTCTCTGAGTTCAGGTAATCCTAGCAAGGTTCCTTAAAGGTAGCTTATTCCTGTGCTCGCTTTTCAGAGGAGGTCGCCCAACAAAAGGTCACATAAGCTGTCCCAGTCAGAAGCCAATAAGTAGCCTGGCCTGGATCAGACATAAGAAGTGTGGCTTTATTGTTTCCTTGTACAGAGCTGGAATGAAGGTTTAGGTTCACAGTTCTTGATGCCCAGAGGTCCAGTCCCCTGGAATTTGACTGTCAAGGTTTTCCTTGACGTGAGTTATTCCTAGGAGGAATAGTAAAGGGGAGGGCAGGGATAACTGGTCTCATTTCTGCCTCAATCCCTATCTGGCAAGACCCTCAACTTCTGCTGGTGTTACAGTTCCTAGCCCCTTCCCAGAAGGAACTGTGATGTCAGCACCTTCACTCAGGCCCACACAGTGCTTGGGAGCAGGTAGGAAAAGGCCAGTGCACTATCCCTTAAGGCTGAAAAATCTAGATATTGGCGACGACTAGGAAAATGCCCGTAGACAAACAAAAATCCACTAGAGGGCGCTGCGGTCCTTCTACCAACAGACGCTTGCTCCCTGCAACCCAGTCCCGGGTCCTCATCAAAAACAGCCACCTCATTTCTACCCACTGCCCCTTCAGTGTTCCCATTCCTCCTTCACTCCCTCTAGGCTGGCCCTCGCCCCTTCCGCTTCCCCTCGTGTCTCCAGCTGTCACTCCTCTGTGACACTATCTTGGGCAGGTTCCTCCCTAGAGGGAAGTTCTTGAATTGCCCTGTTTTTTCCCTTTCTCCCCTAGCCCCTCCCTCTCTTCTCAGATCCTCTGTCTGCAGAGGCCCTGATGCCTCTTCCTCACCCTCCCTGGATTCTCCTATTCACCAAAGAATACCAATATCCCCAAGGTGTCTCAAGGCCAGACTCTGAATGTTAGAGGCAGTCTCTGGTTAGTGAATGTTCACACTTATTTTTCCCTTGTTCTGAGATGGATATTGGTTTGGTTTGGGGCCAGACTCCAAAGTAGGAGAAAAATGATCTGCCCTAAAGGTGTGTGTGTGTGTGTGTGTGTGTGTGTGTGCGTGTGTGTGTGTGTGTGTGAAAAAACACAACAGGGACGACAGGACACAAGCTTAGGGTAAGCAGTGTGTGTGTGTGTGTGTGTGTGTGTGTGTGTGTGTGTGTGTGTGCAAAAACCCAACAGGGAAGACAGGACACAAGCTTAGGGTAAGAAGTGTGTGTGTGTGTGTGTGTGTGCAAAAGCCCAAAGGGAAGACTGGACACAGGCTCAAGATTGGGGAGTGCAGGGATGCAAGGTAAAGGACATGAGGGAAGGAACTTGTTTGATTTTTCTAGAGATAAAGCTGGAGAGGATGGTAGTATTTTGGGATTCAAAATGCTTTTGAAAAGCAAGAATAATGAGCCAAAACCCAACAAGATGACATTTAAAAGGAATAAATATAAAACTCTACATTTAGGCTTTTAAAAAATCACTTATGTAAGCACAGCATGGAAGAGCTCTGGTGAAAAAAGACCTGGGGGTTTTAGTTGGTCATAGGCTTGATATAGCAATTCAATGCAGCTTCCAAAAACATTTATGTAATGTAAACATGGGCCCTCTTCCCTAAAGCATCCTGGCCAGGAGATGGTGAGCCTTCTTTCATGCATAGATGAGGCTACAATTGGAAAATGTATCACACTTCAAATGGCCATTCTGTTTTACAAAGAAGAAAAATTTTGGAAGCAAATCAAGTGAGGAATGGTCAGGGATGTTTCAGTTTGAGGAAGAGACATAGGCTCCTATTTTCAGACACTCAAAAGGGTGTCAGGTGGGAAGGGGATGAAATCAAAGGGTAGAAATCCTAGGAAGGAGATTTTAGCTTATATAAAAAGCAATCCAGGGCTGGTGAGATAGCTCAGTGGGTTGAGGCGCTTGGCACAAAGCTTGATGACCTAAGTTCAATTCCTAGAACCCATATGTTGGAAGAGAACTGACTCCCACAAGTTGTGCTCTAATCCTCACATGCATGCCCTTGCATATGTGCTTATAGACACATATATTCACACAAATAAATAAATGTAATTTTTAAGTTAAAAAAATAAAAGCAGTCTAACTATTAGAATCACACAAAGGAGGTGTAATGACATCTAATGAGGTGACGAGCTTTCAATTCTGGAAAGAAATCAGCTCAAGCTACATGCCTGTTGTCTGGGAATGCTCCGCGGGGAGCCCTGTGTGGAGTGGGAGGCTCGGCTAGGTGATCCCTAAAGTTTGTTTCAAGGTCAAAGTTCTTCAAGAATAGGGAACGTGTAGGCTGGCAAATAGAGAAGGCGGTTAACTGAAGAGTGGTGGGATTCTTAGAGCAAGATGGAGCAAAGGGAGCAGGGAAGAGGGTTGTGGGATGAGAGGCAGGGAAGGGAAGCCTGGGACTGGTAACCACTTGACCCATTCCCCTTCCTCTCCCCCCATTCCACCCCAGGAATGACGTGCCAAGCTCGGAGTTCCTACCTGGTGGATGAGGTGCTGTGGGGCCACCGCTTCACGTCAGTACTGACCCTGGAAGATGGCTTCTACGAGGTGGACTATGCCAGCTTCCATGAGACCTTTGAGGTGCCAACACCTTCCTGCAGTGCCCGAGAGCTGGCAGAGGCCGCAGCCCGCCTTGATGCCCATCTCTACTGGTCCATCCCCAGCCGGCTGGATGAGAAGGTGGAAGAGGAGGGGGCGGGAGAGGGGGCAGGTGGGGGAGATGGAGCTGACAAGGAGCAGAATGGCTGCCTGCCACCCCCAGAGAGTGAGTCCAAAGTGTGACCGGCTTTCTCCAACCCCCTGTGGCAGATCTGGGGCCAAACACAGGTGCATGGAAACTACAGAGCGGAGGTAAGAAGAGGCAGGCAACATCCCAGGCAATGGCTAAAGTCAGAGAGGCCCACTGAGTCCAGGATCCAGCAAGGAAGGCAGGGGCCCTGGTTTGAGAATGGAGGATGGGGTGGGAGAACACATCAGTCTGTCTGTGTTTGACCTTCACATCTGTTTGGGGGGACAGAAGGATAGATTGATGGGTGTTGGATGGAAAGGTGGGGGCAGAGACAGCCAATGGGAAGCTTCTGTGGCAAGGGACTGACAGCTGGCACACTCAGTGCTGTCATTACCTGTAGCACGCCTTTGTGCAAATTCTAAAGGTACTAGACAGAGGCAGCCTCAAACCAGGGTGCATGGCTTGGGGAGCAGAGTATGGGATGGACTATAGTCCCTACTCACCTCCTCAGCCAGCCTCCCTATGTGTGGCACACCTGTACGACCAGACACAGTGGCCATGGTTGACACAGAGGAGAGAAACTTGGATAGAGATAGGCACAGATGATGAAGGTGCTCTCCCAGCCTCACTCTCCCACTGTGATAGGCTCAGGAAGTATCAATGACCTTGGCCCTCAGGGGACAGATGCTGAGCTGGGGCCCTGCAGCAGAGCTTGAAGAGACCCAAGTATGGCAATTCTCTGACAGTGGAGTGAGTGAGACCTTACAGGTCCTGCTACAGAGGCAGGAAGGCAGAGAGAGGCTCTGAAGTAGAAGAAAAGGCCCAGGGAGAGCCTTTAAAGTACTTTTATGGGGGAAGTCAGGTCCCTGGGGAAAGCAGTTTATCCTTGGGGTGCAGTGGGAGGAGGTCATTCAAAACAGGGATTGGATGGCAAGTGTGACATTCAAAGACCTGGTTCCTGTCACCAGAACACAGGGGAAGATCAGGACTATCCCTGAGGCAACTGAACAAAGCATGGATCACAGTCAATCTGTACAACCTTCTGGAGCAAGAGGTGAAACGGTGTTAGCAATCAGGAAGCTAGGGTTGAGTAAGGCAGGGGGATGGGGGAAGACAGCAGTCACAAAGCCTTACCGCATACCATTCACCTAGAGGGCTTGTTAAAACAGATTGCTGGGCCCTACTCCTAGCGTTCTGACTCAGTAGGTCTGGGAGGAACCCAAAAACCTGAACATCTAACAGGTTCCCAGGTCATGCTGACACTGCTGGACTGAGGACCACACTTGGATGGGGCATCTAAGCTGAGGAGCTGAGGATCCCAAGGAGCAAAGAAATGTGAGGGAGACAGTACTGTCTGTGGGAAAGAGGACCCAGGACCAGCCTGAAGAACTTAACTTTGGGTCTAGGAACTTGACTGTCAGGAGAAACTGGCCAATGACACGGTGAGGTAGCATTTAGGAAGATGAATGGGCATCAGAGAGGTTGAAGCAGTAAGAAGGCCTTTTGGAGGTTCCTAAGGAGGCAGTGGGGCAGCTCTAACAGTGCAGGCGTCAACCACAAAGGACCAAATCTCTCATATGACTAACCAGGCAAGATTAGCTAGGGGAGAAAATGAGAGCCTATACTTCTGTTGTCTGCTGTCATCTGCCCTGCCAAGACAGGGGACCTTGTCTTGCACATCTCATCCCACCTCCACCGAATCCTGATCTCATGTTGGGATGGTGAGGGGAGAGCACTGGCAAGTTCAGGAACACATGGTCAGTCAGTCAAGGGACCTGGAGCAAACATGTCCTCAGCCCTGGCTACACCCACTTGTATCATTGAATAAAGGTCTGCTGTTCTGTTCCAGGCTTGGAAGCCTGGGTCCTATGAGGCACTGCACCTCCCTCCCAGTGTCCATTTCCACTTGGGTCCACTCAGAGAAGACCCAAGCCCTAACCCCTCCCCTTCAGTCTAGGAATAGTTGTCTTTGGCTCAGGTTCCAGGACAACCTGGGTCACCTTCAGTCAAAGATGAGGTCCCCTAACACTGGCATTTGCTGGTCTCCCACAAATTCACATTGAATTGAAGCACGAGAGTGCTCTGGGTTTAATTCGGTAAACAAGTGAAGTCTAGACAGGAGGAGCAGGCTGCTTGGTTTCTACATGAACATACACGGTACTGGAATGGAGAAACTGAGGCTGCCCTTGAAGTCACTGAGATGCCAGTGCCCTGTCCTCAACACTGATACCACTCAGGGCACCACTGTCCAGTGCAGTCAGGAGACCTGTGTTCTAGTGCCAATCCTGACTGTCAGAACTTAGCTCAATGACTCTTAGCAAGTCACATCACTTCTCTAGGCCTCAGCTTCCTCATCTGTAAAAATGACACTTGGCAAACCAGTAATGCTCAATAAATGTTAAATTACTAAATGAAAAGGGCAGACTGGGTGCTGCTTAAAGTGCAGAACAGCTAAGACTTTTAGGATCAGAGAACTCTTCAGCAGAGGGGTGCAGCTAGACAGGAGTAGGGGAGCCCTGGCAGCAGACACAAGCAGGTGCAGTAGCTCTGTGTACACAGAGGACACAGGCCCTCCCAACTGCTGTCCTCCCTGCCACTTAGGCAGCTGTGTTCAGAGTGCCTATTCTGCTGCTGTCAAGAGAATAATTAAGGTCAGGAGGAAAAAGACTGAGGCCCCAGGGCCTAGTGGGAGGAATCTGGTCCAAGACTAGCCCAACCAGGAGAATGAGATGCAAAGAGGGTGTGCCCCAGTCTAGGGAGCTCAGAAAGCACCTTGTCCCTGGAAGCTACTGTTGAGAGGGGCCAAACTCAGCTGGAAGCTCCCTCCCTTCCTAAGCTCCCCTCCCCAAACAGAAGCCCCATAGGAGTTGGCTCAGCACTGACAGTTCAGGCAGCAGATGGGACCCAGGCATCCCCTCCTGCAGTGGGTGGGTAGAAAAGCCCACGGAGGCCAGATGGTGTTTATGGTGGTAAGAGGCCCAAGTTGTCCAGAATAGGTTAACCCCCGAAAACCTCTCTGTCACACCCTCAGCTTTTTATAGCCTTGTGGCAAGGGAAGACACAGCTAGGCCAGGATTTTAAAAAACCAATTTATTCATGTTTTAGAAAAACTAGTTGGAGGACAGGGAATGGCCTTCCTACAGGATGGGTAGGAGACCAAGAACAGAAGGCCAGAGGGAGGAGCTTGGGGGAAAGGTAGGGAAAGGGAGCCACAGTCACATCTCCTACTCTGGGTGGGGGTAGGTCAAATAAATTAAAGGCTTGTCATGGGGAGAAGGTATCCAGGCAACCAGAGGAGGGGTGGCGCTGGCTGGAAGACAGTTGACATCTGCAAGAACTGGAGAGAGCATGTGGGGTGGACTGAGGAAAGGGCTCCTTTGGCCCTCACCTGCTACAGGCCCCTGCAGGACTGGGCTGGCTGCTTCTCCTCCAAATGGGGCCCTGGACGCAGCTCAGCACAGGCAGCCCAAGGAAGACAGGGCTTGGGGGTTCTCTCCCTCACCTGGGGACACAGATCACCGTTTCCGCAGCTTCTTCATGAAGCAACAGGTGATGGTGGCAAGGACACTGGCTCCAGTGACTAGGGCTACTCCTGTCCCCACCAGCAGGGGCACGAATAGGGTGTCCAGAGCTGAAGGAGAGAGGATAGCTCTGTTCAGGGAGTGCCATCATCCTCCCCTTGCTGTCGCACTGGTCTCCAGCAGTCCCTAGCAGGTTCTCATGACTGAGCTCCTGTTCAAGAGTCCTCCCTACCCGCCCAGCACCCTGCCTCTCAGCATTCAGATTAGCTTGGGCTCTTCATGCAAAGGGATGTGGAGAAAGGACAGCAGCAGGAAGGTAGGAAGATGGAAAGGGTGAGCAGGGACAGGTGGACAGAGGGTGGGAGCCACTCACCATGCGTGTAGGGGTAGACTGTGACAGGCCCTGAGCGGGTACTGCCCGCCTGGTACCAGCTGTAGTCAGCATGCTGCACCCAGGCGCTGGGGGCACAGTGGTACACGCCCTCATCCTCAGGCCCCAAGCTGTGCAATCTTAGCCGATGGCTTCGGGGCCCCACCAGCTCCACACTGACAGGGCCTCCTCCAGGCCGGACCCCGAGCTCTGCCACACCATCCTGACCCACTCCACCAACCAGTTGAGCAGGTCCAGAGCTCAGCTCCCCCTCTTCCGGTCGTTCCACCCACCAGCTGGCAGCCAGTCTCAGCCCTGGAGGGCCACCCCGCACAGAGATGTTGCATAGCAGGGAGGCAGTCTCACCCCGGTACACAGCGCCTCCTGCTAGCCATGCCACAGCCTCCAGCACCACACCTGCAAAGGGAAGACTGCGGGATTACAGGATGAAGGGTTGGGCTCAAGTGGTCAAGAAAAGAATTCTTTCTGCAAGCCCTGAACGTATCAAGGGCTCAACTTCCTCTCACCTTCTTCCCGCACATGCACAGCAAGAGGCCGGGAACGGGCACTTGCCGCTTCACGAAGCCGGGTCCCAGACCCTCGAACATAGGCTTTGGCGAGGCAGCGGTAAGTGCCTGCGTCACCAGGCCTGGCAGCCTCCAGTCGTAGTCGGTAGGTTCTAGACGCCACCTTCTCCATGGCGATGTGCCGGCCCTCATACCCAGGGCCTAGGCTGCCCACACCTTCTGTGTCCAGCTGGGCTACCAGGCGGCCAGGTCCGGGAGCCCCTGCAGGAGCCATCTCCCAGCCCACCGAGTACGCAGCATGAGGGCCTGGTGGGGGCAGTGCCCCTGACACATTGCACAGCAGTTCCAAGGGTTCCCCTGGGCCAATGCGACGTTCACCAGGCCCCACTGTCACTGCCAGCTGGCTGGCTGAAACAACAGGGAAAGGGAAGAGTCACAGAGGGGCCTGAGTCCCCACCTATAATTCTTTGCAGAAATTTAGAAGCCCCTTGTCTGTCCTTTACTATGTATGACTGTGAACCCCACCCAGGACCTGAACCTTATCCTTCCACTACTGCGCTCTGTCTCCACACCCAATTTCTGAGCAGAGGAAACCAGACACAGGTAGAGAGGGAAGAATGCGTAGAGCACTGTTCGGTCTATGGAAAATGAGTTCTGCAGTCAGATGGCCCCGCCTCCAATGAGAGATGTGGCACTCACACAGTGTCTGCACATCCACGTGGGCCAGGACAGCCCTTTTCTCTGTGATCTGGGCCCAGGTGCCGTCAGGGTCCTGAATCCATTCAGCAGCAGTGCAGTGGTAGGTGCCTGAGTCCCCAGCCTGGGCACCCCCAACCACCATGCGGTACTGGTCAGTCCCTTCCTTGCTCAGCCGCAGCTCCCCTGCCGCCAGCCGCTCAACATAGGGAGCTCGTGCCTGCACAGCCAAGTCAGGCTGCAGTGCCACCACTTCCTGCAGAGTGGCTCGCCCCACCGGCGCCTCAGGAATGGTTCTCCCAAAGGACACGGACAGGTGTGTGTGCTGTTTTGTTTTTGTCTGTGCCAGGCAGCCCAGTGCCAGCTCCTGCCCCTCATGCACTGTCAGACGAGAGGGTGAGGTTGCAGCCTGGCGGCCTCGTGGCCCTGGAGGGGCAGCAGATACCTGCAGCTCATCTGGAAGAACTGGAGAGAACAGCTTTAGTGAGGGAGGTTTAGGAGGTAGCAGCCTTCCTTTCTGTTTCCTGTGTGCAAGCTACTTTGCTACATAGATTCTGAGCTCCTAGAGGATACAAGCTATGCATGTAGTATCATTTCTTCTGTAATTCAGTGGTGCCAAGTGCACACAAGATGCTCAATAAATACTGAATTTTATAGAATAAGCCCATTAGCTCTCACTCTGATGTCTGACATTGACCCCTGTTTTAAATACTCAGAAAAGTAGTTTTGTTTTCCTTCTCAAAAGGTAAAGAGCTGGACCTGGTGGTGCAGGCCTGTAACCCTAGCTACTCAGGAGGCTGAGGTAGGAGGATTAAGTTCAAGACCTGCATAGGCTACAAGTCAAGTTCAAGGCCAGCCTGGGTAACTTAGCAAGAGTCTGCATAGTCCCCTAACCCCCACCCCACCAAAAAAAAAAAAAAAAAAAAAAAAAAAAAAAAAAAAAAAGCAAAGAAAGGTCTGGAAAGGCAGGTACAATAGCACAGGAGACTGACATGGAAAATTGCTGAAGGTCTGAAGCCAGTCTGGACTACACAGTAAATTGCAGGAGAACGGTCAAGAGTTATAGGCTAGCCTGAGCTACTAAGACCCTATTTCAAAATGGAGAGTGGGGGATATAGCTTAGCAGAGTGCTTACCTGGTATGATCAATGCCCTAGGTTTAATCTCCAGGAAAGAGAGAGAGAGTGACAGAGACAGAGAGGGGAGGGAGAAGGAAGACGAGGAAGAGGAGGAGGAAGAAGAAATTAAGAAATCTGGGTATAGTGGCTTATGTCTATAACCTCAGCACTTTGGAGGCTGAAGCAAAAGGACTGCTATGAGTGCCTAGGCCAGCCTGGGCTACAAGGTGAGTTCCAGGCCACTATAAATGAGACCGTATCTCAAAAACAAACAAACAAACAGGGCAGGAGAGATGGCAGCCATTAAGAGCACTGAACTGCTCTTCCAGAGGACCTGGATTCAGTTCCCAGCACCCACTTGGCAGCTGACAACCATCTGTAACTCCACTTCCAGGTTATCCAACACCCTCTTCTGGCCTCTGCACACATTGCACAGCAGAAGTATACTTACATGTAAGGTAAAACACTCATATACATAAAATTAAAATAAATAAATTTAAAAATTAAAAACAAATCAAAAAGACAAAACTTAGGAGAACAAGAATGGCATGTGGTCTACCTCCTGCCCTATCTCTACTCTCTCCCACAGATTTGAATTCTGGGCACTCCAATAAATGCATTCAGTGAGACTGACTTGCTGGGTGATTGAGGCAAGACTGTGAACCTGAAGTTCCTCAAATACAAGCCTGAGGGGTAAGATAGGTCCCTCCAGCCCTGACTTTCTACCCTAAGGCTGGGTATGACCCTACCACCACTACCACAGCCCAGGGCCCAGTACCTCTCAGCTCCACTCGGGCACTGTAGTTGCCCAGGTATTGGGTATCTGTGGAGGGTGTGTAGCATTCATAAGAGCCAGCGTCCTGGGCTTGCAAGCGAGCAATCTTGAGCACCACGGAGTCTCCCTTCAGGCGTTGAACCTGCACATCTCCTGATGCCACCCGGGACGCAAACACAGCATAGGAGAACTGGCTATCCCTGGTACTAATGATGGCCAGTGAAGTACCGGGAGCCTCTGCTCTGTACATGAACCACTCAAAGTCCTGCTGGGAAGGGCCCTCATAGGCACTCACATTGCAGGAGATGGAGACAGAGGTGCCAGCCACACGGTAGAGGGGTCCCTTGGGGACATGCACCTGCCGGGCATAGCACCCGAGTCCTGTAGAGAAAGGCAGAAGCAGTTGGAGATACCAGGGTCACCATCCCATGCCCAGTACTGCCAGAACCATTCTCAATCACTGCCTATAAAAGGAAGGGAAACCTAGGGATGGTTGGACACAGCTGAGAAAGGGAATGCTGGGACATAAGACATCTGGATCTCAGCAAGTCAGCAAAGGCCCAGATTTACCTTGGAACAGAGAAATACTCCCTTTCTAGATGACTAGAAGCAGAGTACTTACGTACAGAAAAGAAAGGAGTGCATCTAGAGGCTGGGGCGATTGCAAAGCAAGCATGAGGACCAGAGTTTGATCCCTAGCAACCATGTAAAAAGCTTGCCGTGGTACTAAAGTGGGGCCAGTGAAATGGCTCAGCAGGTAAAAGTGCTTGGTGTACAAGCCTGAGAACTTGAGTTCAATCTCCAAATCTTTCTCTAACCTCCACACATGGTATGTGTGCACTGTCCCTCACATCACACACACACACACACACACACACACACACACACACACTAATAATAAATTTAAAAATAAAGTGAGCCAGGCATGGTGGTACATGCCTTTAATCCCAGCACTTGGGAGGCAGAGGTAGGCAGATCTCTGTGCGATCAAAGCCAGCCTGGTCTACATAGTAAGTTCCAGGCCAGCTGGGGCTACAGGGAGACCCTGCCTCAAAAAGACCAAAAAATAAATAAAGTGGATGGATCCTGAGGAATGGCACCCAAGGTTGACTTCTGGCCTCCACAGGGACCCTCCCATACATGCATCTGCACATGCAGTTGTACACACACACACACACACACACACACACACACACACGCACAATTTTTTAAATAAAAGGAGTGCACCTGATTCTTGCTTTGGCTGGACCTTACACTCTGACCCTGCCATTCCTTTCTGGGCATGTCCAGGGGAGTCTTTAGCTAAGGGATTCTGAACTTCTTCTGCTCGACAGGAACTGACAAAATCTTACAGAAGACTTTGTTGTGTCACGTGGGCTAGACAACAGAGCCAGTGGTCCATGCTGGATGGGGTATTGCACTCACTGGTCAGGGCACCATGCTGATGGGGCACAGGCCCAGTCAGTTCTCACTACACAATGCCCTCCCACTCCAGCTGTGCCATGAGCTCACTGCTTCTCCTAGCTCACAGGGTTACAGAGGCAGCTGTGGCCTCTGGGGTAAGAACCAGGCTCTGCCCTGGCCTGGGACAGAAAATCCCCTCCCCCAGGGTCTGCCAACCTTCTGGCTAGCCCAGCTGATGCTCAGCGTCCCTGCCACCTCCCTAACAAAAGCTTTCATTTGCATATGTGTGTATCATTTACGTATGGGCCCCCTTTCTATAAGGAGGTACTAAGCCCTGCTGCCCCTTCGTCTCTCTCTCCTCTACCCCCACCCATCACACCCTCACCTTTGGCCCAACCATCGTACAACCTTGGGGTGCTCAGCTTTTTCCTTCTCTCTAGTTCCTTCCATAGTTCCCACTAGAGATTAGCACAGAACTCCAGAATGTAAGGGGGGCTGACATTCATTCTACAGATGAAGAACAGAAAGTGACCTGCTCTGCAGAGCACATCTAGGGAGTGCTGGGGCTAGAACTGGAACCCAGACCTGAGTCTAAAGCAGGCCTCACTGCTCTCTTAACTAACCCAGAAGAGAAGACCTGGCTGAGGGAGAACCATCTCTCTTCCAAGTGAGAAAACTAAGGAAAAAGTCTGATGTTTTGGCCAAGATCCTGCCATCTCTAGAGGGCCTCCACACACCCTTTAAGAAGGACAAAAGCAAGAGGAGAAACTTCCAAAGGGAGGCCTGACTCACCAAGCTGTGTAATTTCCAGAATTCCCAGGGGAAAGTCCACAACCTCTCTGCTAGAACTGGAGGAAAATACCTAGGAGCCTGAGGCTTGTCCTCCAGCTCTTACCCCTTTCTTCTTCTACTAAGTCACAAGACATTTGGAGCAAAAGCTATAATCAGGAAGTTGGTCCCAGCCCCCAACATTCAGCCTGGGACCAATCCTTTCCTCTGCTGGGCCTCAATTTCTACCTTAGAGAACTAAGAGCTTCCAGTTCTGACAGTGAGTTAGTGAATGTGACTCAAGATGGCTCTGTTCCAGGCACGTTTCATAATCAAGGGTGATGGTGAAGACAGCCAAGCTGACACCTTCCCAGCTGCCCAGGGGCAGACTCTGCTCAGAAGGCCCCCTCCCACCTTCCTGGCTCCACAAGTGCTGATGCTCAGAGATCAGCATGGGAAAGTCACCCCCACAGCCTCAGGAAATCAGCTGTCAGTCACAAGCTCCCCACCAGGCCTCCTCTGTATTAGCCAGTGGCCTGCTTTGGAGTCAAATCTGGGTTCAAATTCTAGTCCTAAACAGTCACTAGATGGCTCTCTGGAGCAGGTTACCTCATTTTCCTCATCTGTAGAATGAATGTCAGAGCTGAGCGCAGTGGGCTCCTATCCCAGCGTGCTCCTCTTCCACCTCTGTGCATCACTACCCCCGCCCCCGGGGGGGCTCATCTCTGCTCCACAGAGCCCACTGGGGAGAAGCAATCACTAGGTAACCAAGCCTCATGGCTCCTGCATCTCCCTATACCTTGCTGCCTCTTGCTTTGTGCCCCAAAGAGAGCTTTCATCTTGGCCCCAGGGGGCACAACGACACCTGTTTGGCACATGCAGTTTTGGTCTAGAATCAGAGAACGCAGTGGCTGGGGTGCCATGGGCCCTTACCTTGACGACTTAGATCTGCATCCTCCCCATATAACCAAGCCTCATGGCTCCTGCATCTCCCTATACCTTGCTGCCTCTTGCTTTGTGCCCCAAAGAGAGCTTTCATCTTGGCCCCAGGGGGCACAACGACACCTGTTTGGCACATGCAGTTTTGGTCTAGAATCAGAGAACGCAGTGGCTGGGGTGCCATGGGCCCTTACCTTGACGACTTAGATCTGCATCCTCCCCATATCCATATTACA